ATTCCTGCTTATTAAGGCATTTCTCAATCAACTCTTGTTCATCAACTGAAAGATACTTCTTAAAAGAACTTATCACAGCTGAATCGGGAACTGAATCGCCAAATAGGCAATATCCATAAATGCCTTTGATAAAATCAGAGGAAAATAAGATACCATCTTGTAACCTAAAACAAGAATTCTACCAATAGCTTGCCATTCACTCACAAAGTGGTCGTGACGTACAAAGGGCACTCTTTCTCTTTCTCCAATAGTCATCGAATCTCCGAACGATTTCCAAAAAAGTGAAAACACGTCACGAGCCACACCAACCTTTTTTCGGGAATTCCACGATCATCAATAATTTCAAAAACTATGGAACTTGTTAGGATGCTCTCATCTTGGAAGTAGCTTACCATATCCTTGCATATACGGGAACGGTGCACTTTAACAACTTGAACTTCCTTTGGACTGGACGGTGGATGAGCAGTATGAAATTCCTGTTCATTTTGTGATTCGTGTTGGTTGGCTATTAAAGTCTCTATATCACCAGGAAAATTTTCATTATCAGGAGGGCTACTGCAGGAATTAATGACTGATTGTAAGGTTTCACCAATCGCAGAAGGTGAAGAGTCATCAAATGGAGTGTCTAGATTGGGTTGAGTCTCATTATTACCATCGAAGGAAACACTTCTTGAAAGGTAAGCAATCCGATGTGTCCTTATTTCATCGAGGTTGGGATAAATAGCTGTACTCTCAGTGGGCTCATCGGCATCTGTTGAATTTCCCATATGTTTCTGTTCATCAAGCTTTAATGAAGCATTATATTCCTCATCCTGTTTGCATCGAAGACAATCTTCACCAGGAAGATTAGTACAATAGCATTTGGAACACACTATTCTGTACTGTGGACTATTGAACAATGAATCTGGTGGAGGGGAACTTGTAGTCGATGGGGGAAAAATTGTGGTAGATGAATGGAAACTTGTAGTTGATGGGACTAAACTTGTAGTGGATGAAGGAAAACTTGTAGTGGATGGAGGAAAATTTGTAGTGGATGGAGGAAAACCTATTAATGGTGATGGGTGATTTGGAGCTAAGTATTGAGTGGTGGGTGAGGCACCACTTACACCAAGGTCATCACCCTCAAAATCCAGATAAGTGTCACTACTGTCAACGGCTTCTACAATTGCAGAGCCAGTATCTGTCATTTGGGTTAAGCTCTGCTCTTCATCCTCTTCTGGGTGAATAAATACTGTTCTTAAGTATAGATATGTTAAGGAAGGATACAAACCATTCTCATGTAGGTAATCGGCAATCGTACCACCGCTAGGAAACGAATGAATAACTTCACCAGCAGAATTTGTGACTACTTTGGACATATCTTCAAGTAAGCCAAAATGGCTTTTACCTTTTGGAAAGAACAATTCACAAGCTTTGTCCAGAATTTGCCGTAAAGTTAACGGTTGTGAATCCATGTAATTAATATAGCGGTTTCCGCCACCATGCTTGTTTCGCACAGGAATATATTTGTCTTTATCTTCGTCATAATGCATCCATCGTATTTGTATTCGATGTTGTTTATCTGTTTTAGGCTTTTTCCTGCTTGTGCTGGCCGCTCCTTCGGAGCGGTTTCGTATTCGATGGAGTAGGCCGCTCAAGCGATTTACCGTCCTTTCTGTTTTCTGAGTTGCGACTGGCAATTCTCCCTTACTTTCCGAGCTTTTACTTTCACCTTTCTTAGTTTCTTGCTGTTTTCTAAGCTCCTCGCGTACAGCATCCTTTATTATGGCGTCCATATTTGCGAGCAAAAGATTTGTATTTCGTTCATCGACCCAAATCGGGTATTGTTTACTTAATTGAACTGTTAGGCAAATTTCAAACTGAACTGTTAGATAAAATTTAAAACTGAACTGTTGATAAAATTAAAACTGAACTGCTTAGTGATTTTTAAACTGAACTGTGTGGGAAATTCAAAACTGAACTGTTCAGAGAATTCAAAATTGAAGAAATTCGAAACTGAACTGTGTTAAAATGTAAAACTGAACTGTCAAATTGAGAACTGAACTATGGAAATTTGAAACTGAACTGCTAAAAAATAAAACTGAACTGTCCAAGAATAAGAACTGAACTGTGACCCTTGTGGGCCATCGTACTATACAAATATCAGAATTGAACTTTGTGTGAACTGTGCGAAAATCAGAACTGAACTGTGTTGAACTGTACGAAAATCAGAACTGAACTGTGTGTGAACTGTACGAAATTCAGAACTGAACAGTGTGTGAACTGTACGAAAATCAGAACTGAACTGTGTGTGAACTGACCAAAATCAGAACTGAACTGTGTTGAACTGTACAAAAATCAGAACTGAACTGTGTGTGAACTGTACGAAAATCAGAACTGAACTGTGTGAACTGTGCAAAAATCAGAACTGAACTGTGTGAACTGTACAAAAATCAGAACTGAACTGTGAGAGAACTATACAAATATCAGAATTGAACTTTGTGTGAACTGAACGAAAATCAGAACTGAACTGTGTTGAGCTGTACAAAAATCAGAACTTAACTGTGTGTGAACTGTACGAAAATCAGAACTGAACAGTGTGTGAACTGTACGAAAATCAGAACTGAACTGTGAATGAGCTATACAAAAATCAGAACTGAACTGTGTGTGAACTGTATGAAAATCAGAACTGAACTGTGTTGAACTGTACGAAATTCATAACTGAACTGTGTGTGAACTGTACAAAAATCAGAACTGAACTGTGTGAACTGTGCAAAAATCAGAACTGAACTGTGTGAACTGTACAAAAATCAGAACTGAAACTGTGAGAGAACTATACAAATATCAGAATTGAACTTTGTGTGAACTGAAATCAACTACGAACTGAACTGTGTTGAGCTGTACAAAAATCAGAACTTAACTGTGTGTGAACTGTACGAAAATCAGAACTGAACAGTGTGTGAACTGTACGAAAATCAGAACTGAACTGTGAATGAGCTATACAAAAATCAGAACTGAACTGTGTGTGAACTGTACGAAAATCAGAACTGAACTGTTAGTGAACTATACCAAAATCAGAACTGAACTGTGTGTGAACTGTACGAAAATCAGAACTGAACTGTGTTAAACTGTACAAAAATCAGAACTGAACTGTGTGTGAACTGTACGAAATTCAGAACTGAACAGTGTGTGAACTGTACGAAAATCAGAACTGAACTGTGTGTGAACTGACCAAAATCAGAACTGAACTGTGTTGAACTGTACAAAAATCAGAACTGAACTGTGTGTGAACTGTACGAAAATCAGAACTGAACTGTGAATAAACTATACAAAAATCAGAACTGAACTGTGTGTGAACTGTATGAAAATCAGAACTGAACTGTGTTGAACTGTACGAAATTCATAACTGAACTGTGTGTGAACTGTATGAAAATCAGAACTGAACTGTGTTGAACTGTACGAAATTCATAACTGAACTGTGTGTGAACTGTACAAAAATCAGAACTGAACTGTGAGAGAACTATACAAATATCAGAATTGAACTTTGTGTGAACTGTACGAAAATCAGAACTGAACTGTGTTGAGCTGTACGAAAATCAGAACTGAACTGTGTGTGAACTGTACGAAAATCAGAACTGAACTGTGTTGAACTGTACGAAATTCATAACTGAACTGTGTGTGAACTTTACCAAAATCAGAACTGAACTTTGAGAGAACTATACGAAAATCAGAACTTAACTGTGTGTGAACTGTACGAAAATCAGAACTGAACAGTGTGTGAACTGTATGAAAATCAGAACTGAACTGTGAATGAACTATACAAATATCAGAACTGAACTGTGTGTGAACTGTACAAAAATCAGAACTGAACTGTGAGAGAACTATACAAAAATCAGAACTGAACTTTGTGTGAACTGTACGAAAATCAGAACTGAACTGTGTTGAACTGTACGAAAATCAGAACTTAACTGTGTGTGAACTGTACGAAAATCAGAACTGAACAGTGTGTGAACTGTACGAAAATCAGAACTGAACTGTGAATGAGCTATACAAAAATCAGAACTGAACTGTGTGTGAACTGTATGAAAATCAGAACTGAACTGTGTTGAACTGTACGAAATTCATAACTGAACTGTGTGTGAACTGTACAAAAATCAGAACTGAACTGTGTGAACTGTACGAAAATCAGAACTGAACTGTGTGTGAAATGTACGAAAATCAGAACTGAAGTGTGAATGAACTATACAAAAATCAGAACTGAACAGTGTGTGAACTGTACGAAAATCAGAACTGAACTGTGAATGAGCTATAAAAACATCAGAACTGAACAGTGTGTGAACTGTACGAAAATCAGAACTGAACTGTGAATGAGCTATACAAAAATCAGAACTGAACTGTGTGTGAACTGTACGAAAATCAGAACTGAACTGTGTGAACTGTTTAAAAATCAGAACTGAACTGTGTGAACTGTACGAAAATCAGAACTGAACTGTGAATGAGCTATTAAAAAATCAGAACTGAACTGTGTGTGAACTGTACAAAAATCAGAACTGAACTGTGAGAAAACTATACAAATATCAGAACTGCACTGTGTGTTCAATGTATCCCATTATTACAGGAGTTGAATCTTTCAACATTAATTTACATGATGAACAAGTAACAGCAGAAACACACTTGCCTTCTGGTTTGATACAACAGATCCTTGAGCAGACAGGAAGAAAAGCGATATTGCGTGGCCATGGTGCAACACAAGGTGATAATTGTTTATGACAAAACTCCTGCTATGAAGCTGTACAAGTTGAATCGTCTCTATAATATCTATAATCAACTGCATTTTATACTGCAAGTATATTTCAATAGATGGGAGTACATTCCATGTTGGAGCCGCTAATCCTATCTTTGTTAAATTTCAAGCTCCTCGTAATTCAACAAGATTCTTCATATTTCAACTGAAGGCATTTCCGTGAAGTACTTTAGATAAAAAAGTCATTTATATCCGGATTGGGTTCCTCCTCGAGGGCAAGAGTCGTGCATAGGCCACGTGATAACGAAACATTCTGAGCTCATCAGTGAAGGATAAACAATTGTAAAAGTTTTATTGTAACTCATAAGAATTACCTAAGGACATATTTTGTAAAATCTATTATATTAGGAGTGCCTTTCCTTAAGTCTAGCGACCTACATTGTTCCGTTACCGCATGAGGAACTCTACCTCGAATCCTCTTGATCTGACGTAATCTTTGCAACCAATTACAGCCATAGGTATCTGTAGTTGTCTTCTGATTTTGGTGAATAACTGACGCCATCTTAAAAAGAAAAACATTTGATACCGTCAATATCACATACGGACATTTAAATTACGCTAAATTACTGACCAAATTTATTTACTTACATTAACATGCATTGCCATATGACGAACCAAGTTCGACAGGTTTTTATCGGAAATAACTCTAGGGCCATAATTTGTATTGTTTAGAATATCCCTGAGTTCATCTTTAACGTTCAAACACACAATATTACTGTCGTTATCCAGAGGCTTGATTACTATTTCCACAAAGTTGAATTGACCCTTGAGAAGAAACAAAACATTCACAGAATTTAATGTCTTAAATTTCCAGCACTCACAACATTCATGAATCATGCTCACGCCAAAAAGGTTCACTTACCTTAATAGTTCCCATATTATACGACGTTTTCGAGTCGTTGTAGACAATAGTGACAAAGTCATTGCCAATGTGTAATTTCTTTGAGTGACAGTTTGGATCATTTTCTTTGTTTGGCATTAATGTGGCGACATGAAACATAACTAAATTAAAATTTTACGACTATTTCAATTGACTATCAATCACTCCATGTTCAACACATGAAGCACAATGACTAAAAGAGCTAGAACTAAGATTATACAATGACCTTGTGCAATCTCACTTCTCCAACTATAACCGTAGTGTCCATCTGCGCCGTTTCTCTCCAAGCCTCCAGTATAGACCTCACATAACAAGAAATCTCTAAGACGCACTAATTCACCGAGACCGGAGAGGAACGCCATGTACCTGGAGGATCCATATTGATTACGCAGGATAGAAACCTCGTCGTTTTCCTGGTCTCGACCAACATAAATAACCCCTATTTTGTGAGTGTCGAATGGCGGGATACGGTCCAGGTTTTTCACAGCACGATAACAAAACTTAAAAAAAAGGAAGATAGGATCACAGACGGACTTCACTCCAGTAGTTTGATGCTGAAACACAGCCTAAAAATTCCTGTAGGGGATACAGTAAGAATACGCACAAATGTCACAATTAATAGGAATGTCGTCTTGTAAGGTTCATGCAGTATACAAACCTCTTCTTCAGGTAATGGAAGCGGTACATTTTCATCGCCAAACCAGGATGATTGATAAAATTGCAAGAAAATAAAATTCGGGGACATCGCGTCGTAAGTAGTAGACACGTCTTCCGCATTCTTCTCGCAATGTTTGGTGATCGAAACAGGGAACAGTCCGTTGTTAGTTCTTCTATTCACTTGCTTTCTTGGAGGTTGGTTAGCTGCTGACAATGTTTGACGTCGCATCACCAGGGACTGCTTCTTCTCCTTGCTTTCTTTGTCAACTCCATTGTCAAAATACTTCATCAGCCCTAACAAACACGAAATTATTTTAATAATCGTAAACTCGATTCGGAAAAGATCATCCAGTCGTTACTAACCACGTCTTCCGTTATTCGGTTCATCTAATCCCGGAGATGACGAAGTCCTCCTTAAAACTCCCAAATCAACTGTTGCACTTTTCTTCTGCATCAAAAACTCCTTTGCTGCTGGGGTTTCTCCTCCAGGGGTATCTAGTAACGGACTTACAGCCCTGCGACCATTTTGGAACGGCGTTTTTCCAGTGAAAAATTCGGGACTCTTCGTTCGCGACGAAATCGGGGTAGTTGGGAGCGAGACTGTTCCACTGCTTGACTCGCTAACTCGACAACATCGCTCAAGGTGGGTCAGGGGACTCTGCCCACGAGAACCAGGTAATGACGTAGTGTCGTCGACAGCGATAATGGCGTGATTTGTTGCGCAATCTTCGTTTACGTCAACAAATTCTGGGGAGCAAGTCTGGTCATCCTCGTGGACAGGTGATATTTCTGGTTAATTGAACGAAACATTCTGCTTTTGAACTTTACCTCCAAGTTTACACAAAGGAAACGTGTTGTTATAATACCTGGATTTTCTGAATCCTCCACGCTATCGTCACTCTGCAATAAATAAGAAACGTTGCAAGTCTTCACCTTTAACCACGAGGATTAAATTACGTAATTCGAAGTGCAAAATTGAGATTATCGGTTTCTGAGTTTACCAGTTTATAATGCTCAGTTTACTCCGTAAGACCAATTTTATCATTATTATTACTTCACTTACGGATTCTTTAAGTTCATCCTCGTCTTGACTCAGAAGAGTTTTCAAAGGACTTGCATCCAGAGGAGATTTACCAAGAACAGGCTAAAATTAAACAGATGGTGAAATTAACGGGCGATGATGATTCGTGATCTTAAAATTGCTACCTTTTGAAACTCTTCACGAGTTAATAAGTCTTGACTGTTCCCTGTGAAAGAAAAATATGTAAATATAGTCATATTATAATATATATTTCCTCCATATTGCAAGGGTAATTTCGCTTGCCTTCAGTTTCTTCCTTGTGTAAAACACTGTCTTTGGAATCTGGTACGACATCAAGAAGCTAAAGAAACGATTGTAAAATAGCTTGTCTAAATCAAAGATATCTTTCTTTTCTGCTTTCCCTGCCATTCATGTTAGAAGCAATATAGGGGATGGATAATCAAAGTGCTTGCACGAAATAAATTTCACGCAAAGCGAGTTTGAAGAGAAATTCTTACCATAAAAGCGCTTGGTCCATCTCTCGGACTACGACTCAAATATCGAGTTCGTTGAACAAACGACGAACCAAGATTCAACTTTTGACCGGAATCTTGTAATAAAATTGACGAGGGTGAAGATCTGCCCTGTTCTGTGAGCAGCACCTTTTGTTCTGCATTGTCTAAAATATAAGCAGATAATTTGTTCATTTCGTAAATGCGCAACATGGCCGATCTGTTTTAACATTACAAACCTGACTCCTTGAGTTCGATTTTCTTCATTTCAACATCATCCCGGGTATCTTCAATATTAGTTTCCTCATCCTCTCTACGAGATGCAAGACGATCTTTGACAAGATCAACAATCAATGTATCGCTGTCTGCGCTCTTGCTAAGAAGTTCTGTTGTAGTTTCAAGGCGTTGTCTGGCTCCTTCTTTAATGAGTTCGGCCGATAAATCATCTGAGATACAACAATATCAATTTGACATTCCGCCAACGGAAATGCCCAACCGAAACATTGAACAGGTTTGACACATCGTTAACAAGTTGTGGGCGAAAACATTCAGGGCACGATTTGACCGAGAACTTTTAAAAAACAACGTTAACTTTACAAATAAATGAGCTTACCAAAGAATTGTTTTGGAATTAAACTTTCATAAATCTCTGTCTCTCCTACCGCTGGTCGTGAAGTTTGTGTTTCATCGAGTTTCGGCCGATTTTGTAATCTCAAAATCCACGAAGTATTTCCGGTTGGTCTTCGAACCAGAATCTCAGCCCATCCTTGACACACGCAACTGCAGCCATTGCTTGAGTCACAAGACTTCTGTACTGAGCCTACGGTACCAGTGGCCTTTAAATCGCGGGTAAGAAGGTCAGATGCTTTGGTATCGAATTTTGTGTTTGACACCTGGCTAGAATCATCTGCATGAGTTTTGCTATCAGTTGAAGAAGCCTGGAAATGTCAAATACGTTCCTAAGAGCTTTCACTAGAAGAATATTAAAACTTGGTCGCTCTTGCAAATATATTTTGTTGTTTGAGCATGAATGCGCTGGGCAGACAATGTATGCTTATTTAGACAATGATACTGAAAGCATTTTCCTTACCTGACTAATTGAGGCCTCGTTTTTGTTTCTCTTAAGCTCAACTTTTAAAACCTCAGGCTCCTTGCCCTTCTGCAGTGAATCATCTCCCACAAACACTTTTCCTGCGGAACAATATGCGCATGACATGTTCGAAGTTGCCCGCTTGCTGACTGTAACCGTGATCAACACATTGCCAAGCAACCAACTTCTTGACGCTCCATTGCGCAGGAGTCGTTCAACAACTGCAGTTCTATATAAAACAACAAAATAGTCATCTTTCCTGAAACACAGTGCAGAAAAATACGAAACCAATATACAGACCTTTTTGGTTGGGTCAAATAAGAAGAAAATGTATATTTGACCATCATATCAACCACGATTTCCATCATCTCTGAACTAAGTGTGTTGCTGGAGTCTTCCTTTGATTTCTCAAGGGAGTTTGGGGGTGACTGGAATTTGGTGGAGGGATTAGTGACTTTAGGGTATGGGTTTGCAGCATCTGAAGATATATCTGTGTTTTTAAGACTCTAAAGGAATACAAGGACATATACTTTTACCAGAGTTTTCTAATGATTTAAAACGAGTCTCGATATTAGCAAAATTATGTAACATGAAAAGGACAAGATTATGTAACAACACTGACTAAGCTGTATAAAGTTTGAAGACCACTTCTTAATATCCTTTGAGAATTCAGCAAGCAATCTCCGTGGCAATAGAATGACATGTGGACTTACTTTCGTAATAAATGGCACGAATTGTTTTCTTAACAACAGTGGACAGTTGACAAACCAGGATGAAATGACATTATGAGCAAGAGTTACCGTGTATTCAGAGTATCTAAGGTGAAACATTTCAGATTTTTCCAGTATCATATTTTAATCAATTTGACAAAACCAATAATAAAAAGTTTGAGATGTTATCGCGTTGAACCAACCTCGATGATTCTGTGTAAGGCAAACATATTCCAAAGACTTGTTTCAACTGGATCGCTGTGAAGTTTTTGTACAAATCACGAAGCTGTGACAATGCTATTTAAACGTTTTAAAAGAATGTTACCAGCTTTTCGCCGAATACGATTGTGTGTTTATACAACCTAGCTCCCTTTAGGAGGTACATTGATATTTCGTAAAAGATTCCTTAATTCACGTAACTTCAAGAAACATACCAGAGAGAAATTCTAACAGTGGTATGGCAACTTGAGGCGTTGGCGAAAGTTTAGTAAACTTTTCCAGATATGTTGGGAGCAGTCTAAGGACAGAAAATTTAGTGATTATTACTCAAAAGATCTTGTATTTGTGAAGGAGTATCTCGCATCACAATCTTGAGACGTTACATTTACATAGGCTGGAGTTTATTGAAAAACATTTCTGTAAATTCACTGAGCACATTATCAAGGCACGATTTTAAATATCTCCAAAGAAATAAACTTCTAAAACGCTGCAATTACTTAAATCAATTTCATTCCTTACAAAGTGTTAATGGACATAAGAAACGTCTCAAATTCCAGACTATCTTAAGTAGCCATACCTTGCCATAACTGAAGGCATTTCTAACATACATATAGTGAGACAAGATACGCATAACGTCGCTGAATGAGCAACCAAACCAATCTCCAAAGTACGCATCAAACAAAACTAGATGAAATATACAACAACTTATAAGCAGGAACAAACAATCGCTGAAAATAAAGTCACGCAGGTTCTTACCTGTTCATCTTGACCAATAAAAATGTGGTACGTACATAGCTCTGTTAATACCTGCACGTGTTACAATAAAATATCTAATTAAATCATTAGTATGGTATCATATAATTATGGTATAAATTGGTTATGGTATAGTATGGTGTGATATAATTATGGTATGATATGGTTATCGTATGGTATGGTATGATATGGTTAGTTATGGTATGATATGATCATATGATATGATATGGTTATGCTATGGTTTTGGTATATTTATGGTAAGATATTATGATAGATGCAAAAAACTGAATGATAAGAATCGTACTGGAAAAATTCTAGCGTACAAATGAGGTCGGCGCATATCATGAGGAACACGAAATAATCCAGGAAGAAAATCATAATTTGAAACCTGAATGCAAAGTAAAATTTTTAGTTCATGATTTTGGTGTGAAAAGTACACAACTTCACATCCCTTACCATCTTAGATAACACTGTACATATTGAACTTAAGTATTGCTTTCCAGAAAGTATCAAGTTTTTATCTTGCAGTGCCTCTGGAAAGTTTCTCAGAACAACATCCAACACCTCCCATTCCAATTCCTAGAAAATGAAGAAAGTTGAACTTCAATCGAAACTTAATGCTAGATGATATATTATAATAGAAAAGTTTACCTGTTGTAAGCACACAAGAATAACATTCATCGCCTCGCTGTAAGGCAGTGAAACAATCCCGGTTGTCTTATCTTCTGCAGAACTAAGACAAAAATGAGAATGTATTACACTAAGAAGAAAACGAATTTTGGAAGCAGAATACCTGACATGCGTTGCACTATCATCATTAACCAACCTTTTCCTTTCACAACAAACAAAATACGAAGTGAATTTAACTTTCCCACTTTTGTCTTGCACAAGGCCTAGACGTTGACAATTGTCAGCTCGCAGATTGAGGAAACATTGAAGAATCTTTAAAAAAACCACAATGTAAGACATCATAGAAAAATCGCGAGAAATAACATTGAATTTGGCTTACCGCAAGACGTATTTCCGATGCAATATACGTCCGATAGCCATTGTCATAATGAGTTTTTATGTGGTACACTAAGATATTGAATATTCGTTCAGCTTGTTCTTGAGGTTTACGAAACAATTTCACCTGCAAAAATAAAATGAAATTACTGAAAATGAAGCAAGTGTTGCATTAAATTACACTTATTTTTGTTCACGAAAATAACTTCATCACAATGAACGAATTTGTGTGGACAATCTTTGCATGTCCTTCATTACCTTGAACAAGCGTACTAATCCTAATACAGCCTCTTTGATGTCTTTCAACGCTGTTTCATCCTGAGGCTGCAACAACAAAGAAAATTTACAGTGATTAGATGTAATTATATGTCCCTAGATGTTCCTACATATACCTTGCAGTATCTATAATTACCTTACCTGTTCTTTACATGACGGCTTAACGTATCGCTTGAGAGGATCTACTGGACAGTGGGCAATCTGGAATTGATAAATGAAATATACATCCTTTACTTCACTGATGCGTTTGATTCACGACTCTCGTGAAAAACGATCCAATTTGCGGATATATACTGTAGTTAGGTTCAGGTCAGGAAGCTTTCAATGACAAGCAAAAGTTTTCTATTGAAGTACAGTATCAGCTCATCACGAGTGAAGAAAGAAATTGGAGTGGAGAAATGAAAGCATCTGAAAAGGATTGTATTGAGTACCTTCTCAATTATATGCAAAACATCGCAAACTTTCGGTGAATCAGAGGATTCAATAACATCGACCAGAAGCTGGACAGCTCGGATCCGCACAGAAATATCCCGATCTTTGGCAATGTGGTCTAAATATGGCAACACTGAATTCTCAAGTATTTCTTCCTGTAAAAAAACAAGGAGTTATAAAACTAGAAAAAGATTCATAATATCGCAATGTCTAGTAAAATGGACTAAAATTTATTCAAACTACCAAAATTTTATACCTCATATAGTGGAGACAACGTTCCTAATATGTTACAAAGCACATTTAGAACTTTAATTCTGATGGCCGTCCTCTCTTCACATCTGAAAAAAAAATTCCCACTACGCATTAGGATAAAACTGAGGCTACATAGAAATACATCACGAACTTAAACAAAAATCAACATACCACAATATTACATTATTACATGTCAAAATATAAAAAAAAGAAGACCACACACTTGAAGTATTTCTCCACCAAATTTTTAATATTTTCAAACCAGTTTTCGCAGTAAGGATGAAGAGACTGGGCACGATGAGAAACCAGGAGAATAACTGAGGATTCCTGCAAACAACGACATTTTATTCAGCCGCAAAACGCATTATCAAGAAACAAAAGACGTTCATACTCACTGGTCTCTTTTTCGTGCATTTAGCGACGATATCAAACAGTTTGTCAGCAGAGCCGTTGAACTCATTTTTCTCATACAATTCTTCAATGTACGACAACAGAACATGAAAGTTTTCTGCCACACTCACGCAAGATGGGAATCTCTGAAAATAAAATTCAGATGAAATATGGTACAGCTTTCCATGAAGAACATCGTAATTTATAACACCCGTGATCTTGATAATCTCCTGAGCCGTAAAGTAGGCAGGTTTTACAGCGTAACGAACGACAATGGCCTACCTCAACATATTCCTGAAGTGTTGAGGTTATGTCAAGAATAGATTCCCATGCAGTATCGTGTTGTTTTAATCCATATTTCTTCACTAATCTTTGCATGGATAAAGTCACTTCACATATCACACTCTCATCATCACACGACAAGACCTGAAATAAAACAACAAACGCTTGCGTTAATAACAACATAAGTTTCATGCAAAGCGTTAATTATGAGAAACCTGCAGGTACAACATTACCTTGTAGAAAGATGGTAATACAGCAACAGGTTTATGTTTTAAACTGGACACTTTCTTTGATCCCCACAAACACATTCCAACGAAGAAAATAGCTCCTCGCAATAATGTCGATTTCTTCCAGTTTTTGCTGTTACAAAAGAAGAATAAGATTCATTAGTTGCCTGCTTGTACGATAATTCGTGAAAACGTATGATATGAACACGTTTAGAGGGTAGGTAGTCAAACACAAACACATGTGTAAGGCACAGTATACACACATTTACCTATCTTCCAGAATGCAACACATCGTGAGAACGCCATTATGACCAAGGTGTGTTCCAAGTAAATGTCTCATGAGCTGAGTAAAAAATACAAATTTTATGAACACAGATCTTGTAAAAGATTATCACATAGAAAACACAGAACTAATCTGTCATCACTCAACAAGTAAATGGGGTACACATATTTGGAGTTGCCCCGGCAGTTTCTTTACAAACCCCCAGTGATCATTATTACATTAGGTTTATACATCTTGCTTTACTGATCAAACCTACCCTCCAACTTGGCTCACAGAAATGTGCAATATTCACTGTATGACAAACTGCCACAAGAAACAAGTAAAGAGCACTTGAAGGCAAAGAACTGTAGCGTATGACTGCATCAAGGATTGCCAGAGAATGCTGCAGAAAAATAAACCATATTTAAAGCCATCAATATGAAATGCACAAATAGTTATATTGCTTTAGTTTCTAACTGACAGGCACCTCAAGGTCACTCTCTTTTTCTGTTGTCGTAGATATTTCACAAGTGTGCCTAAAAAGGAAAATTTTTAATATTCTAATGCATCTTTAATTTTGGAGTTTCACTTTTAGTTTTGAATAAAAAAATTCTTTTGTGAACATTTTCAAGGAACAATAGTTTTTTTTCAACAAGGTCAGGGAAAAATGAGAGGATAAAAAATCTTACTTCACCAAACCAAAAACAACATCATCGTCAAGATAACTTGAGTTGTATCGAATGAAATTTCGCAGCAATGGCAAGAAGACATCCAACCTTTAAAATATGATCAGAAGAATAGAACATGTTTTATAAAGTGTTTCCTTATACTCTCCCAAACGGCACAAGATATAATCAAGCTCTTTAAAATAATAACTCACTTTCCTCCAAACATTACTGCTGACATCAAGGATAATAAAAACGGACCTTTTAGAAAATCAAAAAGTATAAATATACATTCAACTGTTCTGCTTACTTTTATGTCCTCATATTTTTTGAAATTAAAGAGTTAATAAAACAAACCAATTCTTTCTTCAAAGAACACAATATCTTTACCATCGGCAGACAAAGCTTTGAGGAATTCTAACCTAGTTAAAATTAAAAAATAAAGACTGGGTAATAAAAGACACAACTAACTGTTAGTTTTTGCAATTCAGATTATAAGAGAGAATACTAGCTTTGCTACATGCTGTACCTTTGTGTTAAATCCTCTGGAATGTCATGGTTTTCAATAACCGTGAAGAAATGGGCCCGTAATAGTTTCAGATTTGAATACTAGATAATTTTAACACATCACCACTTGATGAGAAACCATGTTATGGATATACTTTATATATATGGATGAACTTTCTTATATTGCTTACCTGTCCTGTGACAAGTGAAGTCAAAAATTGGAGTGTAACATGTCGAATATCAGGCGGATTTTCTGCTGGTAGCAGATCTTTAACAGCCAACCACAAAGCCTCAACTGCATGCTAAAATAGGAAATTATATATTTACAATCCAAGTTTTCAAGAAACAAAACATTTTCTTCCCTTACTTCTTCCAACTGCTTTGCTGCAACAACCTCACAAAGCTCTTTCAAAACACGGGCACGTGATGACTGGCTATTTCCAGATTCAGGGCAAATTTCCTACAACATATTATATTTCTATATTAAAACATCATAATGTACTTCAAAATTGAATGTTTAATTAGATTGGTGTGGACTTAAATCAATACCGGCAGATAGTTTTGTAAGTGACATGGATAGTTTTTTCTAGAAATTTCTTTGCAAACAAACACATTGAAGACAAGATAATTCCAGGTCCAGACTCCAGAGGCTGTCTGGCAGAGATTATATTAGGTGTAATACAGTAACATACTGTCATACAAACATTACTATTATAAGAAGCCTACCTTAAGAAGCTCGTCGCATTCGACAGGTTCCTCTACAACAATTGGCGGGAGTTGTGGAGAGAGTGAACCACTTGCATCACGCTTTAACCCCAGAAATTGCTTCAAACGTGTCTTAAGTTTATCTGGTGGACGAGACATTTCGAGAATATGACCATTCCCCAAATATTTTTTTTACGCATAACACTCCCTAAACAAATTGCAATATTTTAAAACGGACGTCTTTAAAGCATTCTGGCCGAATTTTTTAACTAAACATGTAAATCCAGGATATTTTCTTCTCATTGGCGGCCATATTGGATTTCACTGAGCTATATATATTAACTGAAGACATAGATAAAAAAATCTTGATACTATATTCATTCAGAAAGAATATAATTATATCGAATTATCGATGAATTATATGATAGTAATCTAGATAATATATAAAAAATATGTTATCATAATTATTTATTTAATTTGTTTCCCAACTGTATTGGAAAACTAGTTCTTAATTTAGTTCTTAAATAATTATAAAAATACCGTAATTATTCGAATAAACGCCGCGGCGTTTATTGAATTTTTAGCAATTAAGATGCGGCGTTTATTCGAGGGCGGCGTTTATTCAAGGGAGGCGTTTATTGCAAACTCGTAACAACTCTGAATTTATTGTGTAATTTAAACGCCAATTCAACCAATACAATCAATCAAGTATAAAAGTTACGTTTCTTTTCTATTTATATAATTATACAGGGTGTCCCAAAAAAAAGTCCCCGCTATTGAAATGAAGCTTTTGTTGGAATTTGAATGCATGATCAACGCAGTAGTGTGTAAATAGCATATTTATTAGGTTGAGGCATTCAAATAAAGCGTCTTGCTTTCAATTGGGTTTATCATAATATTAAGGCAATCAGATTCGAACAAAGGCTTGATTTCAATAGAGGGGACATTTTTTTGGGACACCCTGTATATGAAAATTGAACTGTGGTTATAAATAAATGCTTCGAATAAACGCCGCAATGAGGAATAGGTTGCGGCGTTTATTTGAGGGCGGCGTTTAATGATATTTTTGCTTGTCCCTGCGGCGTTTATTCGAGGGCGGCGTTTATTCGAGGGAGGCGTTTATTCGAGTAATTACGGTAACCAAGCAGTATGGAAACACAATATTCATTTCCATACACCAAAAGGTGGTGATTTAATGATAACATCACGTTATGAGCTTTAGAGAATTTCTTAAAAACTTGTTTAACGAATCGGATAGAAGCAAACGGGAACGAGAAGAAGACGAAGTTGTGAAATCATTGTAAGTTGTTTACTTCTATTTAAACCCGACAACTTTACTTGTTGGGGGGAATACATGTTAGAGTTGTTTACTAGTAAAAACTATGTACACACCTTGGGTTGTGGTGGACAAAATATTGATTCATTGATTATTTTTATTGTAGATCACTAGCTGCCTGTGAAGGAACACACGAAATCTTATTAGAATGCTACAAAAACAGCTGGATTGGAGGTTGTCAAACTGAAATGGACAAATTTTGGAAGTGCGTCAATGATCAAAAGGTACTACTTTACATATGCATAGGTTCTCCACAGGAATACCATATGCAAAAGTTCAATGAACATCAACAGTCGAAATTGATTAGCCAATCTACAGCTAGTAGCTGAACTACACTCATTAACTGAAGTTTACTTCTTTTTTAATAACCAGCTGGTTTGTATTGCATTATTTGTATATGTTTTCTAGGCGGTCCTTCAGGAAAAGGCAAAAACATACAGATTAAATAAACTGCAACCTAACACAGAAAAAGAAACTCCGAAAGAAAAACAGGATCTGTAGCGAACAAATGTTGGCGATATTTTTCTACCTACATGATTGAGTGAGGACTACAAGCAATGCTTCATATTATATACAAGATAAAATCTTGCATTCAATTTGTTAAATACACTATTACTGCCTGTTGCAGCTTTACATTCCCTGTGGAGAGAAGAAATTTTTTGTACTTAATTGCATATTTTTCATTATGTTTTGTAATAATGTGCCTGTGTACAAAGTACTTTTAACTTTTTGCAATGTTGCATAGGACACACCAAGAGGATATAAACTTCAGTGAATATTGTTACTCTATATGAAAAAAAAACAATCAGATTTTTGTTGATTAGTTTGTAATTAAAAGCATTAAAATTAAAAGCGAGAAATGAAATCTATAATAAAATACTCAATGGATGGACAATATATGCAATAGTTGTCAAGTTCGATCTTTTTGCATTCTTGTATGATAGTTGTGTTATGGTATCAGTAGAAACAAATTTGTGTCTAAAAGTCCAAGAGCGCTGGCCCAAGGTAATTAGAATAAACTGCATGTAATCCGCAATTCTTTCATCCCAAAACTATTGAAGGAACAGTATTTGGGGTATGATAAACATGGCTTTTATGATTGTAACAACTGCACATAGCATCTGTCCACAAGAAACACAGTCTCTGCAGGTGAAATTAATAAGGCCAAAGAGATACATTCGGCCCATGCAGGTGGCTACACCTAGAACCACACGCGATGTTTCACCAAAAACCTGTGCGTATAGCAATAGCTGTACCACAGTGCTGAAAAAAGTATTTCTATTAAATAATTTTTGAATATTTTACTATTTGACAAATGAACATTCTTCAACGCTACATTACAACAAAATTGAGCCCCACGGAAGAGCAAAGGGTGAATATAAAGATACATGATGCCCGTTTGATATTTGTTATACTGGCGACGACCATGAAGTGCGTGTGTTAATTCTGAGTACGGCAGACAAAAACATCGTAAAATTGCTTCAAGTTTCTTGCCCTATCGTAGCATTTTTCGCATTTTATGCGACAGGTAAGGAGAAGTGACAGTTTCGAATTATGAGATTGTATTTATAGAGGTCAGAAAATCGTTAAATCAAGTGCAGCTTCCGGAAAATTCTCGTGTGAAGAATAGTGAATACCACGTTCAATTCTTAAATCAATGGATATGAATAGCTCTTGACATATATCTCTTTACCGAGCAAAACGCAGAGGGGAAACATGTACAATTTTACAGTGTAGCTTCGAAGACCTCAAGCTATAATTGACAGTATAAAGTACCAAGCCAGCGCACGTGATATATGGATTAGGGTTATTGACGCGATTTGTTTTTAGTTTTAGTGGGAAAATAAGCGGAAGTATAGACATTGAATCACGAATTGTTACACTTTCCAAGAACATTCCAGATGGGCATTTTGCCGTGTTTCCGAAGACCGGAATAGGACTAAGTCTCTGTCAACCATCATACAAGGCAATTCCGGCAACCATACTTATTTCAAGCATATAGCAAGCTATAAAACAATTCAACCAAAAGCCGCACCAACCATGTCGTCGTCTTTATTGGGCTCAGATAGTTCTGGTTTAAGTTATACCAATGAACGACCTGTCACTCCTTCAGAAAACATAATATGCGAGAAATGGTACTACACATTACTATCATCTTTTCATTATAAATGGCAGCATATTAAAGAGTTATGGGCCGGTTCGTGGAGAGAATTTCTTGGCAAGAAACTTGAAGCAATTCTACGATGTTTTTGTCTGCCGTGCTCAGGATTAACACACGCACTTCATGGTCGTCGCCAGTATAACAAATATCAAACAGGAATAATGTATCTTTATTTTTACCTTTGCTCTTCCGTCGTCCTTAATTTGGTTGTAGCGTTGAAGAATGTTCATTTGTCAATGGCTGAAAATATTCAAAAAATATTTGTAATTCTAAGTATGATCGTCGCGATTGTTCTAATGTCGTATTTGTACGAAGCAGGGACAAATTCCAGCTCCGTTCAAACCCGGGGTACACTATTGCGTCTATTCTACGAAGGTGGTTTGATTGTCTTCGGCATTTCCACTTTTGGTTACAGCTTGTGTATTGCGATAGACAATCTTTCATGCGGCAAAATGCTAGATTCAATTGTCGCAGCAATGAAAGCAATGTTTACCTTGTCACAGATACCATTTCTTCATCATTTTTATGAAGCAAGAATTCCAGAAAACACGTCGTTCATTCAAATCACCCTGGCTCATCTTCTAGGAACAAATTTGGCGCTCTGGTTTTGGGCGTTGTGTTCAGAACAGGCTGAAGAGATGTTAAAAGAATGTAAGAATTATCCCATCAAGCTAGGAAACTCAGAACACTATTTTAGCCCGTTTTTCGTAGAATATTTGTTGCTTGCTGCTAGTTTATTTTATCAAATATGGAGTAATTTATACACAAGAGAGGCGGGTGCTTGGTTACAACGTCACTGTCGTTCATGCCACTGTCAAATACCTGACGCTCTTCCATCAGAAGACGTCGAAAATACAAACGACTTTAATGATATAACGATTGAAGAATCAAGATGGAGATCAGGAAAGGGTTGTTTTCTTGGCAGTTGCTTCGCTGTCTTTTTTATTATTTTGGTTCTAATGGCGACTAACACAAACCATGAAAGCTATCATATAGTGTATTCATTTGGGATTTTCGTTCTCTACTTAACGCAAATCTTGGCGTGTTTAATCTCTAAACTATCCTTACAATCACACCAACGTGATTCTGAACGCAGTTCAGTAGATCATGAAGATCTTCTGCTGTATTTTTCTCTGACAGGTATTCTACTGTGGCATGCCTTTCACGTTTACAGCTTACTATTAAATAGCGATGATTCAAGATTTATTGACATTCCAAAAGATCTACTGGGAATGCTGCAACATCTTATTCAAACAGCCACCTTAATAGACCTTCGCAGATACAAAGCTCAACCTGTTCAAAACGCTCGTCACTCGTCAGCATGGATTTGTCACTGCGTTTTGTTCCTAATGACAACTAATCTTATTTTATGGGCAGAATCATCTTTTTTCTTAAAAGTTGACATCACAACACCCGGTGAAACGTATATAAAAATGCAACATGAGTTGAAAACTATTGGATATATTATTTATCCATTGAGTATCTTTTTTAGATTTCATTCTTCTGTATGCTGCCTAATCGCATGGGATATTTTTAGGGTCAAATAATTTAATTATTTTAATTACGCCACAAGCATTTCAAGAATAACCTCTTTAGAAGATTATTTTATTCATTTCGAAATCTTTCCTGCTTTCTTTTCGACCTCAATTTCTTCTCTTTTAATCGGCGTTCATTATCAGATTTCTTTCTAAAAAGAAAGGTTGATCATGAAATATTTAATCAAGACAATGCAAATTCTGTATGTTATCTCTCTTAATTTGCACATTTCAATTACTTTAACAATTCAAACAATCACCCACATACAATTCATTAATCTTTGCTTTCTTTTCTTCAGATGTTTCACTTGGAATAATCGAGACATTTTTTAATATTTCTTGAACTTTTTCAACACCATCCATTAGGTTTTTCTGTTGATTTCGAAATCGACTTGATTGCACAACTAGTTCACCTTGCCTGTTGATTCGACTGTCTTCCTAGAAATAATCATTTCATGGGGGTAAGGAAAAACATTTTTAATTAGAGCAGATTAGTGTAGCCAATGTGCAAATGGTTGTGACATTTAAAATTTATTTACAAAAATAATTCTGGTAGTTTTTTATATAAGGCAAATTACAGTTCTGCAAGGCAATAAATATATTGTGATCAAACTGGGATTTCTGTAGCAGTCCATGTCAAATATGAATTACATAAAGCATGCAATTAGATTTACCTCTTTGAGCAGTTTCAATCTGATCCAATATGGTATCCATTCTGCCGACATTACATGAAAGCGGATATCAACTTTCGTGTTAACTGAACAAAACAAGGTACATGAAATTTGGAGAATTATTGATAGATTTTAGTACAGCATTATTCTGCAGTTGCAAAAAGAGATGAAAAATACCTTTATTGACATTTTGTCCACCTGGTCCAGGACTTCTGGAATACTTTATGATGAGAGAGTCTGAAGATATCATAGACAATATATATATAATGAAAATGTCTCTGTGGAACATAACAACACAAGCTACTTTTTACTTCTTACCTATTGGGATGCGACCACTAAATTGTTCCAACTACAACACAAAACAAAACAAAACGGTATCAGAATATACCTTTGATGTAAAATGTAAATAACTTTATTATGTATTGAAAATATACCTTTTCATTTCCGTCAGAATCATTATTACGCCTGAAATCATTGAGAAGTCGCCGGAGGGACCAAGTTATTACCCTTACATTTTTAGAAAACCCAGCAATAACTGGGAATTTTTTAAACATTTTTGTTTTCTGACAAAAAATATAAATTTTTTGAAGAAAATGTTCCCGCGAAAAATGGGGTTTAAATTACTAAAGTACTTCGTTTAAGGCATAATATAACAGAATACAACTTAATCGAACTTGCCGTGTTTATTATTTCGCCGACTATTCTAGGTTTTCCTGACAAGATCTGCTTGACAAAGATTGAGATCGATTAAAATTTCCTATATATAACTGCATTTAGGCACTAAATCTGGCACTAAATCAATCCCAATTTGCGCGACATATTCTAATTACTAAAACATTGATGATGTCATAATAGAAGACCCAACGCGAATGTTGACGAACAGCGCAAAATGTCGCATATGGCTTAACCCACCCACCTGAACCTCAAAGAGATAATGAGTTCGCCTCAGTCTGCGATCACACTTGTCCAAAAGAAGGGGGCGCTCGTCCCACAACGATCGGAACGTAAATCGACATTAGAGGCAAACGGCTACACTCTTGGAAAAACTTTGGGCGAAGGGGCATACGCTAAGGTGAAGTTGGCCATTTCTACAAAACAGAACTGTCATGTCGCTATAAAGATCATCAATAAACGACGCGCATCAAAGGAGTACTTGGCAAAATTTTTACCACGCGAAATTCAGGTTCTACAAAGGCTCAAGCATCCATATGTGGTAAGAAACAAACAGTACTTGAGATAATAGATGAAGAAGGTGGGAAGCAGACTTGTCCTGAAGTTTTTTCAATCCTCTCTATGTTGTCAATTGAAGTTAAAATAAATGATAACTTTTCGACTACTTGCTACAAAAATTTTCACCTAAGACTCTTGTATTCTATTCAGATGATACTCAGACCTCAATGTTTTCTACATGACGTAATTATAATATATAATTCTTCCCTTTCCAAGACAAAATTCTACGAAGTGATCGAAACACAGACGAAAGTCTTTCTGATCATGGAGTATGTGGAAAAAGGAGACTTGCTCGAATATCTCAACAGCAGCGAGGAACTGCAAGAGGCGGAAATACGCAGACTATTTCAGCAGCTAGTTTTGAGTGTAGGATACTGTCACAAGGAGAAAGTTGTTCATCGTGATATTAAGTGCGAAAATATATTACTTGATAACAAGGGACGTCTGAAAATTACTGGTAAGATAAACCAAACCACGTAGTTTTAGTGAAATCACACGGATAATTCCCTCACGGAGAAGTAGTTTAGATCCCACAAAACTTTTCAGCGTAAACGTAATTTAGTTTGGTACAAATCGAAGTTTGTTTTTAATTCACAGCTTTCATCTTTTAGACTTTGGTTTTGCGACAAGCACTTACAAAAGCAAGCCACTGGAGACATTTTGCGGTTCATTTGCCTACGCATGCCCACAAATCTTGCGAGGCGAAAAATACGATGGAATGGCAGCAGACGTGTGGAGCATTGGAGTTGTTCTGTATGCACTGAGTTGCTCAAGATTGCCTTATGGTGACGATGAACTCAAGGTGTTTGTCAAGAATGAAACACCCAAAAAATTAATGTTCACCAAAAATGTCACTAAAGGTCAGCAAAGTAACAAACAAAATTTAAAGAAACAAAAAATATAAAATACGTCAATGTCATTCCGGTGCATGCCAAACTCTAACCAATTTATTTACAATTGCCAGTCATAACATAATGTTCATTGTAATTCTCCCCATGTATGTGTTAGTACAATTTACCCCCATTTACCCCCATTATAATTCGAGTAGCATACCATAAAATGCTTCGTTTTTATATCCAGAGTGTCGCGATCTGATACGTCGAATGCTGGACCCTGACGAGAAAACTCGCATCACGTGCGACCAAATCCTGGAATGTGATTGGTGCAAACAAGACATGGATAAAGTGATCAATGAGATGCGAAGACCCTCGCTAGCAACCGATGTGCCCCCTCCTGTTGTGAGTAGTCGTCGCCGATCAACGCGTACCCCAAATCCACCCACACTTCCGGAAATTCCTCCGTCTGTAGGTACACGTAGACCTGATTATAATAATATCACACAGCGGTGCAATGCGTCATTCCAGGCGCTCGTCAAAGGCTGCATTTCTCTGAAATATATTAAAATGAAATGAATGTGGAGAGAAAATGAATACCCTATCGAAGGTTTCTTCAACAGGGTGTGTCAAACTGATACGTAGGGATACGTAGGGATTTAAGGGATATTTTTATTGCTTAAAAAGGTGATGAAAAACGCATGTCTATGGCAGAGCCAAGTCAAAGAAGAATGAGTTTTAAGGATGAAGTTTCAACAATTGCATCCACGATGGCCAACAAATCCCGAAAGAAACAATATCAATACGACGGTAAGCTAACATAGTTTCTATATAGACAAGTGAGCTTGCATGACTTTGACATAATGAAAACATTTCACTGAACTGTTCTTTTAGAAAGCTACAAGTCTCAAGGACAATCAGAGAGGCGGCGTAGTTCTCTCGTCAGCGATGTTGTGAACGCAGAAAAGTGTTTAGTGAATCAAAGAAGAAGACAATCAATCACAGAAAGAAAGAAGTCTCTCGCTTCTGATGTAATGATTACGTCACCTGAACAAGCTGCGATCAACGCCAGAAAACAGTCCTGGACACCAGCGCACGCCGGGGTGAGTGAAAAGCAATTAATTCCAGTGAAACTGACCTGAACTACAGTGATATGGCGAATATTACAAAGCCTTTGGCGGTCTAACATCAAATGATTTATTTGTATTGTAACCAATTAAACCCCGGTTGAGGAGAGCGAAGCCTTGCGCATCATTTCCAACACTTGTTCTTGTACAAGAGCAAAGATTAGCAAATGTGACACAATGTGTTCATCTCTAGCACAAGACATCAAGCGATTACCACAGCGTGAAGAACAACGAAGAGGAAATCTTGGAGATGACAAAACGAGGTATTGAGAAAGAGTTGGGTGGTCTAAAACACACGACAGCAGGAGTAGCTGCAAGAATGGCAGCCGAGGCGACGCACATCGAGAAGAAAAAAGAAAAAGAAATCGAAGCACAAGCAAGCATTAGAAAAGTCGTTAGTAGAACGAAATCCAAAGAAGGCGGGAAATTCGGAAAATTTATGAAAAAATGCGCGAAGATTTGTAAGCAACCTTCTAAGGTAATGAAACAAACAGATCGCAGGTTAACAATGAAGCTTTTTGTATGAATGATAGTTAACTATAGTTATTGAAAGAATTGCCTAATCATGCAGTTATGAAGTTTCAATTTCCCGAGGAAGAGTTCGAGAAATATTTTTCCAATAAACGTGCGTTTGGGATCAGTGAAAATCATTTTCTTAATTTCATAACTTTCTTTTACAGAACAAGTAAACGTTGCAGACACCAAATATACATAAGTTTCAATCACACGAGGACGTGAAAACAAGAAAGATAACATTCCGTTAAAAGTATCGTTAAATTCCGAAGCTCCGTAACACATTATTTAACGAACTTGTGTATTATAATGTTGGAAAGAGAGAAGGTTATGACGAGAATAAACAAAAATAACGCATACCTTGACTAGTGATCAGTCTTCTATCTCACCCGCCACTTCTTCAGCAAGTGCAAAGTATTTATTCGCCATTTTCCCCTTCATTTCAGTCATAGCATGTTCCCCAGCCATGTTATACATATCCATTGATTTCTGTGGATCTCGTTCTATCCCATGTCCTCCTTCTCTGTACATCTGTGCCATCCTCGCGTATAGTTTCGACGGAGGATCTGTAATTAACTGGACCAAGGTGGTCTGCGTTTCATCGTTTTCCATCGACTGTACGACTTCTTCGTATAATCTGACAGCTTCTGACCACGACTTAAACCTAAATATTTAGACACGATTCTACACTTGATTCAAGTGAAAGTTAATTATGATATCTTTTTATTGATTGGTCAGATTGGTCAGATTGATAAAGCTCTTCCACTGGAGGGAAATTGAAAGTCATTTTAACCATATATTTAACAATCTGAAATAGATCTCTAACGCCAGAATATTTAACAGACCAGTCTGGTCATAGAGGAACTGCATCTGAGTACTTAGGGACAGCTATGAAACAATACTTACTTCAGACCAGTGCCAGTGTCAAAGGCACGTGCCATGTATAACATTGCTTCTTTATCACCATTCTCACTGGCAATCTCCATACAACGGATGCCACGTTCTTGATTTTCCTCCGTATCCTGTGATAAGAAATTAAACAATGAACGTTTTGCCTGCAATGTCATTTTATAAGGTCTGTCATCTCGGGTCGTCTGCGTTTAGTTTTCCTCGTACAAGAAAGAAGATTGGATGGCTTACCTCAGCAGACAAGGAAGACAACATCTCATGTGGTAACTGAAGATAGATTTCAGCCTGAGTTTTCACTGCCATTGGGTAAAAACAAGACCCGGCGTGCTCTAAATGGAACATTGCTGATTCAAGGTCTGGATTTTGATCTGTGAATCTTCCTGCTTCGTTTAGTTGCGCTAAAATGAAGTGAATCTAAAAAATACAATTTTGACACATTTACTTTCAGTTACTTCAATTCATTACCTAAATTTTGAAATAAAATTTGACGTATTAATTGTAACCGATAAAATAGAAAGAACACAAAGTTTTGTGTTTCCAGCAAGCAGATAAACTGGGTGTCACTAGACTATGAAGATTTCTTCGTCAAACGCCATACATCTTGAGAAATTTTATCCTCAGTAACACATACATACCTCTCCAAGAACAGATTGATTCTGAGAAAGTTTTCGTAGAAGTTTAGCCATCGCAAGTGTCTCGACTGACACAGAAGATGAACGGTGAGAGAAAACTCCTGATCCAAAGAAATATTCATCACCACTGCTTCTATCGTCCTGAAGTAAAACGATGAAAATATTTGAAAAGGAATAACGTTGTGAACAACAGTGTTCTGCAGGGATTATTATCCTGACTTAGAAACTTGTCAAAACACACGCTTCCCTTACGAAAATGTTCTATAGAATCCTATAGAATATGCTATAACATATTCTAAACCCCATAGAATATTCTATAGGACTTCTTATCCTATAGCATATTCCATTGCCATATTCTATAGAATTTAGAGATGCTATAGAATATTCTATTGCACATTCACAGTAAAATATATTCTATAGAACATGCTGTACACAATATTCTATAGAATTTAGAGATGCTATAGAATATTCTATTGCACATTCACATTAAATATCCAATAATATATTCTATAGAATATGCTGTACACAATATTCTATAGAATATATGTTATACAGAATGAGACCTTTATGCAATTTAAAATATAACATTTTTACTACACTATTCATTGGTCGAGAATTATATTCGCATTTTTTGTAAGGTTCTCTCGACGACATACTTTTAAAGTCTTAAAGTTAAAATTCTCAGCAGAAATCATTCGTTTTGTAAAGACAATTCACGAATATTTCACACATATGACATATCTCATATGAGTCATATCTGTTTCATAATATGCCCGTTCGCAGGTTAGATGGCGGGCGTTTTGCCAAAACAAGACCGCAAGGTTATGCGGGACTTGTTTAACCGCCACGCATTATTTTCAAATTTTGAGCGCGTATTTGTCTGTAGTTTGTCATCCGTTGATTCAACGTTTTATAACTGATACTGGTAGAATTTAGTGCGTTTTTCTTTCGTATTTTAACATAAAATACGCATTCTTTGAATTTGTCAAAGAGGAATCATAGGAGGGTGGTGAAACGCGCTTTAGTATGCGAGAAGAATCAGAAGATATGGATAATTTTGTAAATGCGTGAAAGGTGACTAGGATCGTGAGAAAGAAAGGCCATGGCAATGAGAAATTTCTAAAGTTAAAAAAATAATCAAAAGTTCATTGACCCATCTACAACAACATGTGTATCTAAAGTATTGGAATTCAGTGGTGAGTGTGTTTTGTATATGCTATAAATGCTATATGTTTGTATAGGCAACATATGTTCTGTATACCATTATAATTAATCTCATAAATTTTTATTCACCTTTAGATTAAACTTTTTATTTGAACATTTTATTTACACCTTTTATTTATACCACCATAAATATAGAGCCATTCCAACTAAAAATTATTTCTGTCAAGACATTTGCACTAGCTCTAGATAAATTTTATATATCATTAAAATTGAATTAAATATAAGCTAGGTCTCAAGTGTTTAATTGTGTGTTTACTGTTAAAATTTACAGATTTCCTTTTGTCCAAGCATCACACTAACCAAAGGTCAAAATGGAGCTCTATTAAAGCAATATTAAATGTGAAAGGTTTTGTTTATGCAGTGCCGTGGATGCAAGAACAACTTTGCTCTCATTCCGTCACTGGAAAGGCTTCAAATGCGTAGCTTAATTCAAAGAAAAGGATGCAAAACCAGAGCCAGAGAAAGTTAAGAGTATATATGGTAAGCAGTATAATTGTTAGTAATTATGTCTGGTCTAAGTTAATATATCTTATATACATATCTTGGTTCAGTTATTGATGAGTTTTACCTTTTCTAGCTGTGTCTAAAGTATAGTGCAAAAAGGTTTGAGGGAAAAGAGGCAGACATATGACAAGTTATGGCACCAAAGATTAATAATATTGTGCAAGTTGAGAAAACCAAGTTGAAAGCATCTGGACATCAGTAACTATATGACATTCCATTTTCTACTATTTACATGTTCTGTACATGTAAATATATTTAGTATAATAGCCTAGTTATATTTTTGCTATTTTCTTGCACAATCATTTTATTTGGTGGGAAAACTGCAGTATGGTAATAATTTTATCTAGAAAATATTGAATAAATTTATACATTCATAAAAAAACCAAGCTAAAATATTTCAATTTCAGTGACACCATATTGTTTTCAATTACTTAGTGCATAATATTTCAATTGAATCCTCCTCAAAATGTGTGAAATGTATATAATTTTACTTAACTACAATTTAAGCTAAACAGCCTTCAAACAACCGGCTGCAGTTGTTTTATCCACGAAACAAAATGGTTATTTGACAGACTTAATTACCAGAACTAGAGTTCTACATGCAGATTAAAGTTATATGGACACTTATAGGACTTGTTTTTTATTCTTTGTTGTATAATATATGTATTTCAATTTCTTTAATCTCTAGATTTATTTATATGTAATTTAAGCAAGGCATTTTCATTAAATCTTTGCATCAATTGAACTTTAAGTAAATAAATTTGTTACATATATTTGGGAATATTTTATTTGTTTGTATGTCTCACTCTTGGCAGAAAGAAGTTTTGATTATGTTGTTATAAAGTGATATATTTCAAAGTCGAAACATGGACGCATGTTGAATATACCATTTATCATCCAATAGCATATTTAATAGATTATCCTATAAAATATACTATAGAATACATATTCTATGGAACATTTTATCACATATTCAATAGGATCATTAATGGAATATTCCATAGATTGAAAATATTTTATGGAACATTTCATATAGGATGTCATAGAATATGTGTTAGAATGTTCCATAGAATACCAGTATTCTATAGAACATTCTAATGAATGTTCTGAAGGATATTCTATTGAGTATTCTATAAAACATGGCATATGTTATAGAATATTCTATTAAAGGTTCTATAGAACGTGTTGTAGAACGTTCCATAGAATAGGTTCCAAAATCCCTTAGAATATTCTATAGGATATTCAGTAAAAAATTTCAATGGAATATTCTATAGAACATTTTTGTAAGGGTTACCCCACTGCTGTCTCCAAAGTTCGAAGAACATTCTGACGAGTCGCTCATGGAATCCGATTCGATCGATGACGCAGAGAGAGGGGGTGAATGGGGTGAACCAGGGCTATTAGGTGTAAATGGCGAAGGTGGAGAACACGGTGGGTGAGATAACGGGGGATCATCGGTGGCAGTGACTGCAAGGCAAGCCATATCTTTACTTAATGTAAGAGAGTTTGTCAAAAGTTGTGCTTGGTTTTCTATTCTTTTTAATTCCACATCGCTTAAGTCGAATGGTGACAGGCCCATTGATTCACAGATTCTAAAATTAAAGAAAACATTGCATTTTATCAAAACATTAAATTTCAATATGATTATAAAAATATAGCATGTTATAACATACTTATTGCAACGATGGGAGCTGAAAAACAAAGCCATTCCTTTTGTCCCAAGATTAGCTTCTCCATATTCGTTGAGATTTGTGCTGTGAACCTGAGGGTCTGTATATAAATCTCCCACACCTGAATATAAGTAAAAATACATTGTAGATCAGCTGCCATTTAACACACATTGAACATTACTACATTCCTGTACCTTGTATATCAACAACCATTGCGTTGTGATTAGATCTCTCAAATGTGAAGTGACTGAACGCCTAAAACAATGATAAACTATTAAAATCCTCCAGATTTTCTGGTGAATTATTAAGATTTAAGAGTGGATAGTTGGCAAAGATAAGTTTTCTATTCTACCTGTGGAGTGGCACGTAAAGTATCATCCAGATGTATGTAACCAGAGTTTGAATTATACTTGATGTATTTTCCTTCAATAAAATGTTCAATATGAAACAATGGGGAACCCTCTCTGTTTGTCATTTCCAAAACAGAAATTTGTAGAATATCAACCTTTAAAAGATATGAAAGTTATGCATTAAAAGGTAAAAGGAACCAACTTAAGCATTTTTCTGTATGTATTAGGAGATCCAGTAGTTGTTCTATCAAAGTTTGCATGACTGTCTCTAAGAATAGCTACCATCTGATTCATCCAGAGCCAAGTATAATAAAGTCACAAACACAAATACCTTCTTGGGTGGAAAATGACGGTTATATTCCTCTCCCCAGAGCTTAGCATCCATTTGTAATACAACATCACTGAAATATGTTTCTCTAGACACTTCATTTATATAACATTTTGCCACATGGTTTCCGGCATGTTTCCAATTCCTTGTCTTCGTAAAATTTGATAACTTTTTCCTGCAAAAAAACGGACGAGTTCATCAAACAACGGTCAAATAAAATATTGCCTAATTTCAAATCCTTAAACTGATATAAAAAATATACTCACAAACGAAAACACTTTCGCATAGCTCCTCTGTCAAAAGACTAATCATGAATAAAAAAAGAGTACACATCACTTACATGCATTTCAATTGGAGTGTTTATGTACGTCAGTAATCTACAAAATATATTGCTGATTTATCCAGGAAGATCGAGACCCTTACAAGCATTGAGAAGGAGTATGGGTCATTCCATATCAATTCAACAAGGGCATGACACCATCCCCTCTCAGATTGTAACCAAAATTATACCAAGTGAAGATATTAGTTAGATATGAAAGCACACCAAATTTCAGCTCAATAGCTCTATTCGTTCTTGAAATATTGGCTTTTCAATATTTCACCTAAAACGGGTGTCGGTTACAGTAAATATTCACCTGGTAAAAAGCATGTATGGTATGACGACCATAATTTTGCTTCCTTTAATACCAGGGGTATGAAAATTGGCTGTTTACCATTTTAAGACATGCTGATTCAGAATACAAAGTCAAAATTATCATAATTTAATGAAAAAAACACATTTTCAATGTTTGAAGACAGACAATGATTCCGCAGTTATAAAAAGGTGTCAAATTACATAGTGGTAATTTTCAATGTTGACAATGTACCACCAAAATAATTTTTGGTATGTCAGATGTATGTATAATAAGGATTACTTTCACCAAGTTTGGACTTGGTGTCTGCTCTACATGCTGAGACACATCCATTTTTGGCTATGTGCTTTATAACATAAGTTATTTAGCTGCAAGTGCTTGTTGGATCGTTTCAATGTCTTTCCCATCAAGCTTGTATTGTCTTCCTGTTTCAGTTACAGGTGCTCCAATAATACACACAGTATTCACAATTGGCACATAGCATGTGTCATCTCTCTTTGGCCAGAAGAAGGATCTTGCTGGGTAGCTTGGATGCATAAATGCCACTTTGACATCATCATGTTCTTCATCGACTTCATTAATGAGTCCAACCCAATATTCCTCATCATATTTACAAACAATGAAGTCAGATACTTTTGGAATTGACATCTTGACTGTGTTTTTCTTACCCAATACAAGATTAAATTCTAAACCATAAAACTGGTCTTCTGAAACTCGCTTAGCCGCAATGACATGCTCTGAGAGGGGGACAAACTGATGAAAACTTCTTGTACCAGGCAGAGTATGTACATTGTTGAATCTTGCATCCAACATATGTCTGACAGGAACCATATCTTCTCCAGCAATAAAATAAACATCAACACCCTTTACTTCTGCTTCACAATATTCAAAGAACTGCTTTGCTGTCAAAATCTGGTTTGATAGTGTTCTTTGAAGACTGGCTCTTGCAGCCAAACGTTTGAGTGTCCCCCCAAGACCATCACATGGAGATTTGCCATGACTTGTAGCAAAAAATGACCAGATACATTTAACATTGAAGTCCTTCTCATGAAGGCAGAGGTTTAGAAAATTTTTGCAGTTTTTGTATTGGCCAGCACACCCATCACTAAAATAATGTATCAATGTTGGTGTTGTGAAAATTTCCTCCTTGATGATATTGACAGTTTTCTTCATAATTTCATACACAAAACAAGTGTCATGATTCAAGTCATCTGAAATGAAGCACATGGATTTCTCTGTAATTTGATTGTCCTTTTTATAATACAGAACAATTGGGTGCAAGGTGCATGATTGTTTGTTCCAGTGAAATCCCTGGATTTCATCTTGGATGACAAATTGATAATTTTCAGCAAAATCACCCAAAACAATCACTTCATTTTCTTTCAGTTCTTCCTTACATTTCTTCAGATACTTTGCTTGAGCTGTAGCAATGTACGAGTGTGTTGTCAAGGAATTAAGTTTTTCAACAAGGAGTGAAATAAAATCTCCAATTGGCAGGATCTGTTGTACCAACTCAGAGCGGTCAACAGTGGTCCATTGTTGAAAATGTATGTTCAGGATTTCATCCTCATCGTCACCTTCTGGTTGGAGTTGATCATTTAAATACTTCTCCAATTCTTGTGTGTCAGCTGGGCATTTTGGGCAACGGTGGACCATACACTCTTTTGAGTCCCTACTACACACCAACATGTCCATGAGCTCATGGCGATCTTTATCAACGTTGATTGCACTAAGCATGAGTACAACATTCTGATGGATTGTGCACACACAAACAGAATGCGTTCCGGAACATCCAACCAAGACACACCATTTTGGTCGGAGACTGCAAAATTTTGAAAAGCCAATTTTTAATTCGGGATATTTCTGTTTGAAGGCAGCGTAAAGTTCTTTAAGGTCACAAAGCAGAAGCCTCTTTTGCATGTGTGTATTTCTTGCTATGCTGACATAATCTTTTTTTCCAGGCATTAGTCTACTGTATTCATCATCACAATAAAAGTCAATGACACATCTTTTTGTTTCTTCTGAAAGTACTTTCCCTTTCTTTGGTTCTGGCATCTCTAAGATACCCTTTTCTCTTGCTAGCTTTCTTGCCTGCCTAACGAGGTAAGCTGAAACATTGAACTCAGTTTTTATTTTCTCGATGGACCATGAAGCAGGAGCAATTGTCAATATTTGAATTTTCTGCTTTCTGTTGGAAGTTCTGATCTTCTCTTTCATAAGGTCAGTAAGTCTATCTAGATCATCAGCTTTCTCTTTCAATTCCTTGTAATTTTCTGGGTGACTATTGTCTGAACTACTAAGATCTTCTGGCTCAACATCAATAATCCTCGCGACACGTTTCTGCAGAATGGTTTCCTGCTCTTTCATCTTTTCTTGGAACTGTTGCAGTTTGCGTTTGCCAAGACTGACTTTGGAATGGGA